TTTGCTAGTATTTTGCTCCCACTTCTCTTTACATCTCATTTTTTCCTCCTTCTTCAACTTCCTTCTTCCTGAAATACGTCTCTTAATAGTTCCAGTGGTAGATGCTGTCAGACTTTGTCTGAAAATGTCTGTATTTCTCCCTCATCCATGAACAGTAGTATAATTAGATTTCTAGTTTGACAGGTATTTGTTCGCTACACTCTTTGCTGTTGTGTTGAGTTGTGTGGAGCCAGTCTAATTGCTGCTCCTATGTGGTTATTCTGGCTTTTTTTCTGAATGTTTAATGATTTTTTTTCTTTTTGGTGTTGTATAGTGTACATATAGGTTTTTCCCCCCATCAGAAGTCATTGTTCTTCCTGAATTTGAGGAGTTATATTATTCACCAATTCTAGAAAAGTCTCAACCATTATAATCTCAATATTACATCTGTCCATTCTCTTATTCTCCCCTCCCAGGCTACTGTTAGGTGTATGTTAGGCTTTGTCATTCTGTCCTGTGTCTCTTAACCTCCATGTTATGTTTTCCATTTCTTTTTCTTTCTGGGCTGCATTCTATGTAATTTCTTCAGACCTGTTTTTAGGTTAACTAATTCTTTCCTGTGATGTGTTCAGTCTGCTATTTAATCAATTAATTTATTATTTTCATGACAACATTTGCCATTTTTATTCATGTCTTTTTCAAATCTGCCTATTCTTTTCCTACAGACCCTACTTATGGTAACAAGCCCTTCCTAAATTTGTCTTGAATTATGTTAAACATATATTTTACATCTCCATTTGTATTTTGTTCTATTATACCTTTTGTTCTTAGGGTTCTGATCCTCCTTTTTTTATTTATGGTGGATTTGTTCCTTGCTTTTTGTAATTTTTTTACTTTGAGTTTATCTTTGGTGAGACTTGATTTTTCTGCCGAAATCCTGTGGAACCGAGGTTGTGAGAGTGACCCTTCAGACCAGTGTGCGATTTATTTGGCCATTTACCACTAATAGACCCTAAGGATATCACCTATCAGGAACCAATTTTTGTGTTAATTCATCAGTTCAGAAATTCTTGAACTCCAGTTTTGTGTGAGATGCAAGCCCAGCATTTTTATTCTTTACCCTGCAGAGACAAAAAGCTGTCTGATCGTCTCACTGTTCCGGTGGGAAGATTTTTTTCCTAGTCCATCCTGTGATCTTCAGTCTTCTGCCAGAGCCTGCTCTCATTGGCAAACCCAGGCAGAAGCCAACTAAAATAGGAGCTTAGAAAAAGGAGCCTGCAGGGTTGGCCCCCTTACAGCACAGAGCAGAGCAGGGAAAAGGTGAGAAGTGGATCTAGGGACAAACAGGCCCAGGGCCAACACAGTATTCCAGTATTCTACAGTTTAAGAATTTCCTCACCTCTGGTGGTGAAAACACTGCTCAGTTTGATATTACAGAACTATATTAGATGGTCCCTAACCTCCAGTGGGAGACACAGACATACTAAGTAACTATGAGCATACATATTGATGACTATACAAATTAGATTGTATGACGTGTTAAAAAACAGATGCAAACCAGTACCAAGGAAGCACAAAGGAGAGGCAAGTCTGGGGATAAATGGGACAGAGGGATGGGAAAGGTTTCCCCAAAGTAGCATGCCTTGAGCTGCACCTCAAAGGATGAGTAAGATAGTTCTATGCAGAGAACCTGGCCATGGATAGAGAAAACAACAGGAGCAAAAACAGCAGAGCCACGGAAAGTGCGACAGCATAGAATGAGAACCGAACCCAGGCCAGGTAGCTGAAAGGTGGGAAGCGTAGTCAAAGCTGAGACTGGAAAGGTTGGCTTGGGCTGGGTTACGGAGATGCTAGAGCCCTGTGCTACCGAGTTAGGACTTCATTCTGCAAATATCGGAAGCCTTTGAACATTTTTAAGGGAAGGAACGTAAAAAATGTAGTGACTGGCTTGAGCTGTTCAATAGAAATATAATGCACGTCTCAAATGCAGCCCCCTATGTAATTTTAAATTTTCTAGCAGTACATTAAAAAAAGTAAAAAGATACAGATTAATTTTAATAATATTTTTACTTAATCCAGTATATGTAAAATATCATTTCAATATGTAATCATTGTATTATTAATGCACTATTTTACATTCTGTTCTTTTGAAATAGGTCTTCAAGATCCAGTGTGTATTTTACACTTATAGCACATCTCTATTTAGACTAGCCACATTTCACGTGCTTGGTAGTCACATGTTGCTAATGGCTACTGTATTGGACAGTGCAGGTATACAGGTGGCAAAGGGGTGTATTCAACCCATAAAACCCTAATTCCCCAGTTCACCAAAAGATTTTACACTCCCTCCCCATAAAAAAGAGGGTTCTGTGGTCAAATAAGTGTTGGGAACTCTGGGTTCATCAAATTAAATGTTTCTTTGGTGTGGGGTTCCTCAGAGCCTCCTGGGCTAATGTGCCCTGTGGCCCTACAAGAGCAATACACAGTCTTCAGTGTTGTCCAGACTCATTTGACTTTCCAGGACAGGAATGTCAGGAACCCGTTTTGGTATTTGTTGGGTTGAGGGGAGCAGAGAGCCTGGTGGCAGGTAAAGGCAGAAATACAGAAGGGAGCACCAGGAAGAGGAGAGTCACAAAGGCTCACCTGAGCTGCCAGTGCTGTGTGCTGTGGAGGAGACACGAGTTCAGAGGGAGTCTTTGGGCTTGTCAATGCCAAGGTCATCATTACCTCTGAGAGCCTTATCTGCAGAGCCGTGGGACAGAAGCCAGAGTACTCGGAGTTGGAGAAGTGACAGGAAGAGCTGGAGCGAGTTGGCCATGAGTGTAGGCCCCTCTGGTGAGGTTGGGCAATGAAATGAAAGAGAAAGGGTGCTGCGGAGGGAGCAGGGTTGAAGGAGTGGTCCCTGTTTATTTTAAATAATGAGACAGGAGGGACGTTTAATGACATTTACGGGCTATGAAGGAAGTAGTGAAGACTGAGCATAGAAGCGTGAAGGAAAGGAAGGGGGAAAGGGGCGGTTAAAGACACTGGCTTTGGAAAGAAATAAGACCCCCTCATCCCCTTACCCAGGAGGGCAGTGCAGGCACAGGTGAGCAGAGAGAGAAGGGAGGCAGTAAAGGGGCCTTGTGCCTTTATTTTTTCCCCTGACACCACAGGCAAGAATAGGGGTCAGGTTGAACACTTGAAGGGACAGAATGAAAGGGAGCTGTGTAGTGCAATGCAAAGGGGACAGCTAGGCATGTCCTGCAAGGATTGTCCCCACATTCATCCTGATAACAGCTAATATCATGTATGTTCCAGCTTTAGAAATGTTAGCAAATCTGAGGCTTTTCCTATTATTCCAGATAGAGAGGCTGATGCTCGTGGGTTTTGATGTAAATCACTATTTCTCAAAGTGTGACCCATGTATCCCCGTGGTACACAATGCAGTGTGTACCCAGGAGGACTCAGTTTAATGATTACATATTTATTTTAATGACTATTAGAAGAACATAATGAGTACATTTAACGTCAAACTTGTATAAATTTAGAGAAAAACATTAAGTAACAGTGGAGATGGAATGTGGACGTGGCAAAATTCTTGAAAGCAGAACATGAATGACTCAAGTCTGTAAAACACCGCTGTGAGAGGCAAGGTAGCCCCAGAAACTTCTCATCGTTTCCATCAGAGTCACCTGGCCACTCTGAGCAGCGCCACTGGATTATATCCACAGCAGCACATTTTGCTGGATGTCTGGCCATCACGTCTCTCCTCCTTGCTGCACAGCAGCCTCTCAAACATGCATCTGAACTAGTGGCAAGGCCCTGCTCAGGTGGCACCTTCTCCTGACTGCCTCAGCTGCAAAAGATCGTCCAGACTTCAGTTGTCTTTCTCACTCCCAATTTTCTGACACACGCCACTTGCTGTGGCTTGTTGGGTTCCTACCTGCTTTTGCCTTTTGTCTGAGGAAGAGCTTCCTGAGGTATTTCCCGTGTCACTGCACATAGCCAGGCCCTCAGCTACTTGTTGAAGGATTCTGGAATTATGTCACTTCACAGTTTGACATCCAGTTCAGCCCTGATGTGCCTGTGAATCGATCCAAAGTGAGTGCAGTATTTCTCACCCTGATGCAAGGTTGCTTGTGACTTCCCTCAGAGTCACTTGTGGCTGGAAACCTGCAGTGTATCCAAAACAGTAGTCCTTTGTTCCAGTGGGTTAAGGCAGCGATCTTGTTGAGAATGGCTGGGTCCTGGGAATTACAGGGGATCTAACCATAGCACTTTCCTTTGAGAAATCTAGAGATGTGTTGCTCAAACTTTTTTTTTGAACAGTAGCTCACAATTAGAAATTTTTACTTTAAATGCCCGAATACATACATAACAAAATTTTTGAAATACTTAGCAAATGTATGCACATGATAGTTTCTTTTCTTTTCTTCTTTTTTTTTTTAATGCCGGGCCTAACCAGCACTTTAAAAAACTAAATTGTATAACGACCTACTAATGGCTCATGACATGTTTGAAATACTTAGCAAATGTATGCACATGATAGTTTCTTTTCTTTTCTTCTTTTTTTTTTTTAATGCCGGGCCTAACCAGCACTTTAAAAAACTAAATTGTATAACGACCTACTAATGGCTCATGACATACAATGTAGAAAATATGGTCTCAAGCATTTGATTCATTTAATCATTTCAATAACTTCAAAAATGTCTTGAGATGGTGAGATTCTTCACAAGCTCAGCACAGTTCTGATCTCTGTGAGGCCATTTCTAAAAATCTTTAATTCTGTCATTACTACTCAGAAAAGAAGTTAGGAGCACGTTGAAATGTTACAGACGTGGCTAAACTGCCACTTTGGAGCACTGAATGGTGGGTCATTAATGTTAGTTCCCCGCACATGTGTCTGCTCCGCTCTTTTGAAAGCTGTGTTGTTCTTTCAAAGCAGTTATTTGTAAACCCACCATATCTGCTGATAAATGTAATGTGTTTTCTACAAAGATGACTTAAATATCTTAAATTCTACCCTCTTTTTTCCACAGGGTGTGCTGATCTCCAAACCCTGGACACAATGCAGCCAATTGAGAGGAAAAGACAGGGTTATATTCATGAGCTGATTCAGACAGAAGAGCGGTACATGGATGACCTCCAGCTTGTCATCGAGGTGAGTGGCTGTTGCTGGCTTGCTGGAGGAGTGTCTGCTGTCTCCTCAAAGAGGGGGCGGGCATCAGTCTCAGGGCTGCTTCCATGTGGAGGCAATGCAAAGCATCACTTTGCTGTATGGACTCACAAATAGTGACAGCAGCCCTCACACCCTCAAAACACTATGTCTGCCCACTGGATAGTGCTGGAAGATTAGAAGTCTCTGATTAGGGTATCAGCTCTTTTTCTCTTCCCATCAGAGGGAAGAGAGAACAGGACGGCACTGGAATGCCTTAGTTCAATGTGGTAGAAGCCTCATTAAGGAAGGACGGGGTATAGAGTGGGTGCAAAGGCCCGAAAGCAAACTTTATCTACCTCATTTTTGCCCAGCTGTATTTACACTGCTGCTTTGACACCTGACATTTTCATAAACTTTGATGTTTCCAGAGGAATCGTGAAGTGGTGGAAGTGTTCACCTAATGTATCGGTTTAGAAAACCAATAGGAGCATATTGTAAAATTTCCCCAATAGTATACATTTATATGTATGTACTTGTATGTTTAGTATATATTTATATTTAGAATGTATTTATATGTTTGTCTAGGTTTGTGCCTACTAATGTTACCAGTGACCTGTAAGCTGATGACAGCTGTGTTCATCAGAGTAGCACTTTAAAATAATTTGTGTTTGAGGGAACATAAATAAGACTTTATGCTTCTATTTTTTTATTTTTTTATTTTTTATTTTTTATTTTTTATTTTTTTGTTGCTGGCTGGTATGGGGACCCGAACTCTTGACCTTGGTGTTATAACACCACACTCTAACCAACTAACCAACTGACCAACTGACCTAACCTAACCGGCCAGCCCTATACTTCTATTATACTTCTGTTTCCATGGCTTTTAGATCCCAGTATATGTGGCAAGGCCCTCAGGTAAGAAGACCAGTTAAATAAACAAACCACCTATACAGAACAAGCGCCCCACACAGGCCCAAGAGGTACAGCATTAACTGGCCATGACCTCGTCAGCAGAATGGAGCAGGGGCTGCGTCCTTCTGTATCTGACCCCCGGCAAGGCCTACCCTGGATTGATTGTCCACCCTAAATGCAAGCCTAAATGCCTGGGATACCCAGACACAGAATACTTGCTCCTCTCACATGCACACTAAACTGCACTTCTCGGTTGGTAATATCTGTCTTCCCCCAAGTCTGTGAGTTCCTTCAGATCAGGGACTGTGTCTCCTTCATCCTGCATTCCCAAAACTTGGCCTGGCCCTTCCTTCATAGGCCTTCCCATGAAGACTGAGTGAATTAGCTATGTTTATGTCTGTACTTCTCTAACCAGGTCAGATGGCCTAGAAGAAAAGCCCATCTTTTTTATTCGCCCCCTGCAAGTGTCAGCCCTGCTGCTGGTCAGATTCCATCCTACAGGATTGTGAACTGGCATGGCGGTCTCTCTGACACTAGCACAGAAGGTGAGCAGGGAGCAGGGTGCTTGCCCCACCTCACACCAGTCACTGAACCACTTGGGGCCTTGGTTATTCCCACACTTCCCACCTCATGAGATGCTCCAAGGGGTGAGGTGTGGTGTTGGGGTCAGGGACTAAGGGTGAAAAGCACCATTCACAGATGAAGCCTTCCCCTTACTCTTCCCATGGAGGTCCCCAGAGGGCCTGGCCATCTTACTCCCCTCTGCTTATCTCACCAAGCCCTGCACAAAGCACCTAAACAGAATGAATAAACAAAGTGGCATAAATGAATCAGTGAACAAAAGAATAGGTGGACAACCAGACACTTCCCCTGTTCTTCAGTGGGAGCCTCAGAGCAGATGGACCATCTTGCCAGGGCAAGCTCTCACGGGAGTGTCCTGTCATCTTCAGTCTGATATGGAACAGCAAAACTCACTCTAGAGAGTGACCAGTTCATAGCTCTTTTTTCTGAATTCTGTGAATCCATGTTCAACTCAACTCAGTAGACATTAATTGAAAACCTACCATGTGCAAAGCATTATGCCTGGAGAACAGAGATAAAAGAGAAAGTTCCTGTCCTCCCAGAGTTCACAGTCCTATTGGAGAGACAGATGAGACCTGAATCCTAGAGGACGGGACCACTCCAGCCAGGAAGGACTTTGGACAAGGATGAGTTTGCTATGCAAGGAAGAGGAAACAGAAGTGGGAAGGCATGTACAAAGTGAGCTAGGGGCTGATAGATTGTCCAGTGTGACCAGATGGTGAAGTCGGCAGGGAGCAGATCTCAGGCCTCGTGAGCCTCAAGGAGTTTACATCTTATCACACAGGCAGTGGGAAGCCTTTGAACGATTTTAATAGAGAGCAATATGTCATATGTATTTTGGAAAGATTACATACGAGAGGAGTTGTCTCAGATAACTTCACTATTTCCTTAGGCTTTTAGAGTCATTCCTTAGGAATTGTAGCTCTTTAGTAGAAACATGCATTTAGAATCAAAAAGAATTGTGTTTTTGTTCTATGTCTGTATTCTAGCTTTGTAACCTTGAGCAAATCACTTTCTCAGTCTTTATTTCTTCATGGGTCAACTGGGAATAATAATACCTGAGTCAACTTTACCTACATCATCTATGAAGTTCATTGAAAACCCTACACCACACACACACACACACACACACACACACACACACACCTGCATATATGTACACATCAGCGCTTTGCAAATCCTTAAGTGTGATGGAATACACATATAGTATTATTTCCCCTTCAGTCAGATGACTTCTGCTTGGGGTCAGTCTTGGGGGGCAGCACAAGTCATTACTCTTTCTCTCGTTGAACTTCTCACAAACTAGTCTCCAGAACTCCAAGATGCTCTACCTGGCAACAAGTCTGCAAGCTCTTACAGTGTGTAGGTGCTTTATGCCTATGGCTTTATTTGACCTTCATAACATCTCTCTGAGACAGATATGAGAATTTCCTCTTAATGAAGACTAGATTCAGTCCTTAGAATCAGCCTTGATAGGATCCCGAATAGCAAAGAGTAGGGAAATTATGCAATTAAAAATTTAACAGTCATACGTACTCTTATTTAGAAACACCGTGATCTGGGCCGGCCCGGTGGCGCACTGGATAGTGCGCCGCTTGGGAAGCGCGGCGGCGCT